ATCCGGCCCTGCCCGGCCCCGCAGCAGCAGCACTGGGAGAAAAGAAACCACTCTTGTTTAAAGCCTATTTTATATCAACTGATCTCTTTCTGGGCCGATATTACCATGATGCAACAAAGCAAATGAGGCTCAGAGAACAAGTCTGGGCTGTTCTCTGGGATTTAGCATTCAGGCCGACTCCTGTGTTATTTTTCCAGCCCTGCTTTAGACTGTTATACTGATGCCATCCCAGCCCCATTCCTGCAGCAGAGAGCCAACCTGGCACAGAGGGATCTGCTGTACCAATCCTGTACCTGCCAGCCTGGCACAGAGGGATCTGCTGTACCAGTCCTGTATCTGCCAAGCTGGCACAGAGGGATCTGCTGTACCAATCCTGTACCTGCCAGCCTGGCACAGAGGGATCTGCTGTACCAGTCCTGTATCTGCCAAACTGGCACAGAGGGATCTGCTGTGCCAAGCCTGACATCAGACACCCAATTCCCCTGCATGGAGCTGGGTTTCATGCTCCTGGGCAAGGTTCAGGGGAATCCCAAACCTTTCTTTCTTTCTTTTGCCAGTTGCTCTAAGGAAAACCTAAGAAAGCAAGTCATTTTCCCATGGGAACCCACAGGATGTGTTGTAGGAAACTCTGATCCCTTCCAAATTACTCATGCCAAGCACAACACATTTCACATCAGTATCACCTGAAAACTCCACACCCAACCTGAGCTTACTTAAAGCTTTCACCCAAAAGATGACGCTTGATGTAAAAAGGAAAAGTTAAACCCCTCCAAGAGAAATGGTAACTCTTTTCCAGCACTTGATACCACTTTGTGTCAGGCTGTTCCCTTTCCCCTGGGAATTCGTGGCTCAGACACACGTGTGTGCCCACTCTGCCAAGCTTCTGCTCTGCACCTGCACGAGCAGCAAAAACACAAAGGAGGGGGCAGCAGCCAAGCAGGTACATGGGTCTGGAAAAGGAAGAAACACAAGGGAGATGTGCATTTCATGCTCTCCCTTTAAAGGGGTTGATCTCTTAGGAAAATTGCTTTAAACAGCTGAAGTGAACAAAGCTCTATAAATATTTACTACAGAAACATGGTGGCCTCTGGGTTTTGTGTGGGTCTTTGTTTCAGAGAAAAGGAGACAAGGTTGCAGCTGTAACTCATCAGGTGGCTCTGCCCTAACACCTGGGTGGAGGCCAGGAGGGCACCTCCCCTTAACAAGGCAGGTTTGAGCAAAACCCAAGAGCAGCGAGCGCCTCTTTCCTCCTTCAGCGTCCCAAGGTGATCCCCACTGCCCTGGGGGAGGGAGATTCCAGCTCCAGGGCAATGCCAGAGCCAGCACTGCTGCTGTGCTCACTGGTCCACATCAAGGGTCCTCCTCCAGGGATGCTCCAATGATCCAGGGCCCAGCTAACACACACAGCACAAAGGTACAAGCAGGGATGGAGGGCTCAGCCCACATTAACCAAGCCAGCAGAAGGATTTCCTGAGACCTTCCCCAAAAGCTGCCAGCACCATCTCCAGTGTGTATCTGCAGTGTCTCTAAGAAGAACATCATTTATTCACAAATCTGGGTCAGGAGACATTCCAGGTGATGCTCAAAAAATCTCTTTCCAAAGGAAAAAAAAAATTAAAAGTAGTAAAAATAAATCAATGTACTCAAGTGAAACATTGATCACAGTTTTAAGACTTGCAGCTTGCTTTCCTTCTGAGAGAGACTCCTTGTCACTTGCAGTCATTTCCAGTTTGTGTGAGTCAGATTGGTCAAAGATGCTTTTTCCACCTCATTTCTTACATGAATGTTTCTGCTTGTGGGAGCTTGGAATCCACCTCGCTGTTAGTCCACCCACAATAAAAAAACCCAGTGCACATTATTTTAACTTCATTAAAACTCAGTTCCCCCAGCTTGCAAACATGTGCTATATGATGCAACCTCAGCTTTTTTCCTCCTTTTAAAGCTTAAATTTGGTTTCATTTATTTATAGTTCAAAAGAAGATAACCAACCTGCTTGCAAAGAGATACAGAAGGTCAACAGGCAAAATTGGAGGTGTGCAGTGATGATGAGCCAAGGCCAAACCTTTACTCAATGCATCATATAAATAAGAAATAAGATAAACTGAGTGGACTTTTGTTACCTGACTAATGCTGCAATTCAGTGGATTGTTCCTTTATCTACAGACATAATTAAGTCAGAGTGGCTGCATTCTGCAACTCTTGATGGCATCTGAGCACTCAGAAGAGGGCTAAAGGTGAGCTGTGCCTGGTCTCTTACAGCCCTGCAGAAATGCTCTGCTCGACTGGGAAATCTCAAGGCTGGCCCAGAAGCCACAGAAAGACTCAGTGTGTCACCACAGAGCCTCACCCAGCCAGCCTGGTGATGGACTTTGGTTTGTGACTGTCATTAGTGCAGCTGAAGCCACCACACCACAGATGTGTAACTGAAAAAGTTGCATTTTCCCCCAAACACCCCCAGGCTCCTCTGTTTGCTCACAGGTCATCAGCTCTGTACAAGGTCTGGGGCACCTAAAAGGCCTCACTAAAGGTTTGTAGGTTTAGTGCCACACTGACCACTGGCTGCTGGGAAGAGGGGACAGCACAGGGCTGGAGTGAAAACATAGAGAATGCACATCAAATATTTAACTTGCTGAGATTTCACAGTGAACTCGAGTGAGCAGCTCTGAAGGGCTGGTCATGCTGTGTGGCAGCAGAGAGGAGCCTCGGGAGAAGGGGACACAGAGCTCTGGGAGCAGGGAGCTGACAGATTGAAACATGCCATGATTATAAAACACCAACAGCATCCAGCCAGGAATTTGTAACCTGTGTCGTGACAATCCCTCCTTACACACAGGGAAGGATCAAGGCCACAATCACCCAGTGTGCAGCTGGGCTCAGAGGCACGTTCTCACTGCCACAAAGGTAGATAAGCACCTAGGAACACTTCAGAGTGGGTCAATGGACTGCAAAACCTTTATTGTGTGTTTGCAAAAGGAAAATATCAAGGATGAATCTCTGGTGAAGCTTCTCAGCACCAAGGACTCCAGGAGCTGTGACTAAGCAGGGATGGGTAAATTTGGTTTTAAAACCTTATCAACAGTTTTGTCAACGCTGTGGGTGCCAGGAACACCACAGCAATTGTGAATTTTTGTGAGAACATAAACCATGCATGAGAGCCCTGTCCCTTCCAGCCAGGGGTCCCCATGAGGGGTCTGGTCAGGGTGTCCCCTCCTCTGAGCCCTCCTGAAGGGCTGGCACAGCCTGGCTGGGTGTCCCTCAGGCTCCCCCTGGCACACCTTTGGGGACACACCAGCATGTTTTCTGTCACATACACTAGCTGTCATCTTACTGGTGTGTATGCAAGACATGAGCTGCTGAAAGATCTCTCCCTCCAAAGGGCCTGTGCCAACCTTCCTGCTGGATTCAAAAAGGAAAAAAAACCAATTTGTGCTGCACACAGTGCAGAGGCTGCCCTTTCTCCAGTGCTGGAACTGGAACTGCACTCTGCTAAGTCCAGCCCAAGGCCATTAATGCAGAAATTCATTTATCCCAAAGGCCAGTGAGACCCCAGCAGTGTCCAAAGGCTCCTTGTGGATTAAAATGTCTTATTTTATGGTTTTGTTGTTCTGGGTTTTTTTACAAGCCCTCAGCAGCCTGTGGTGAAAAGGCAGAATTCACCTAAGAGAATTGCTGGTTGTGGGTAAAAGCTGATAGAGGAGGACTTGTTGCTTCACTTCTAGTCAAACAAGGCAGACTGGCATGGAAACCACAGGTGGCCAGGAGCTGCTGAAAGCATGTTCAGAGCAAACAGGTCTAACCAAGTGTACTAATCCAACACCAAACCCACTCCCAGGCAGAAGGAGCTGCAGGGCCAGCACCCAGGTTATGCATGCACCCACAGATGTAGGTTTAGGATCCTCTAGTTTCACAAACACTTTACAAACAGGCAGAAACATCTGTAAGAAGATACCACAGGTGCATTATCTTCCAGCCCAGCTTAGAGGAGTAGTTACTGTCTCTGTCATCTGTAAGTGATACTAAATTGTTCAGAAAAAACACGGTATGAGGCACAACATAACAGATGTTGCAAATGTGGCATCAACATAACAGATGAAAAAAAAGAGAATTCAAGCTATTCAAATAGCAACTGATGAAGTCACCCAACCTTAAAAAGTGTGTACAGCAGCACATTAACAGCAGCAATTGAACTAGTCAGCTCAGAGCTGTGAGCCACGGGAAAAATCCCTTCCAAACAACACATGAGCTCATCCTTTTGAGTCATGCATTCAATTACCTACTCTTTAAAGAGAGAAACAAATTATCATCACCAACAACAGGGGTCAACCAAACACAGGTGGATCCATCCCAGGTCTGTGTCAGTTTACTTCACAGTATCACCACTCTGTTTTGAGCAGGATGAAAGAAGTTTCCCAACAGCATCACAGCAGAACAGCCCAGCTGTGCCTGCAGAGCTGGGACTGAAGGTCAGCAAATATGGGATTTACCTCTGTGATCCTGTCCTGCACCCTAGCTGAGCTTTGGGAACGGGATCAAGAAACCCAACGAGCTGCCAAGCACCTCGTGCAGACACCTGTTGAAACTGAGAGAGAACAAAGCCTTTCAATTCTCTGTAGTTACCCAGATTTGTAGATTTTCTCCTGAAAAACACACTCCATCTTCCATTCACAGCCACTTCATTTCAGCTGAGAGGGATTTCCACTTAGCCTGGAAGCCTTTCACAGGAAGGCTGCTCACATCAGTTCCCAGGCATCTTCATCTCCAGCTGGGAGGGTTTGGAGGTGGGGATCTCCGGCAAATAATTGCTTGTTTGCTTTTGTAACCGGCCAAAAGGAAAACATTGATTTGGAGACCTCGAAGAAGGGCAGATTTGCAGATTTCACTTGCTCACTGCTTGCTGCAGCCCAGCACCGTTCCAGCAGCTACATGGTCCTCACACAGAGGAACTTTGTTCTGGGCACACTTAAGGGGGACAATTGCATCAGAAAATGGCATTTGAAGCCAGGAGCAAATCTGTTCCTAAAGCTCCAACAATTTCAGCAGACACCCGGGAAATCCCAGAAACAGCCCAAAGTCAGTCCAGAACCAGGGATGTGAAGTGGATTTGTGCTTTAGAAGAAAATCAAGAATGATTTTATGCACAGAAGCGACACCAAACAAAAGAGTTTCTTCATGCCTTGCAATTCAGATCTCCATAAAAACCACACAGCTGCAGGCAGAAACAAAGGCAGCCTGTGAGGGAAATCAGAGGGCACCATAACAGTCTGCATTGTTGCTGGATGACCGTACAAACATCAAGATATGCTGGGAGACAAAAAAATCCCCAACACTCAAAAAAATCCAAGCGTTTGTCCAAAATACTTTGAATATCCTATCCCTCCATGGTTACACTTCTGTGGACACTGTGCAGGGGATGCTGCCCTGCAGCATCAGACCCTCATGGCAGCCCCACACCGTGCCTGGTGCATGCCAGCTGTCCGGTTTTCGGCTGTTTGGAGGGCCTGGAAAGGCCCAGGGTGGCCTTGGGACAGCCCGCGTATCAAAGGACGAGAAGAGGCTTCAGTTCTTCTTTCGGTGTCTATGTTTATTAATTGTTTATCTAAAAGATTTTCTTTCGGCCCGACAGAGCTCTGCTCAGCAGCCAGCCATGAGCACACTGTCCTGCCCTCCAGGCGGTCACCTATCTTTATACTCAAAGTTACGTGTACAATATTTATCATTTTTCTCTAATACCTTTTATTCTTATTGCTCAGTGCACTTTTAGTAATGACCAATCCCAAAGTGCCACCATCACTACAGAAGATGGAAGAGAAGAAGAAGAAGAAGAAGAAGAAGAAGAAAGACAAGACATGCCTCAATTCTTCTATCTTACTTCTCTAAACCCCCCTGTACAGAAATCTTAAACTCTGTGTCTCACTCTCTAATTAACTAATCTCTTCACTATTCACTCTAGTGAAATCTTCTTATCTTCATACAGGTGTCGTCTCCTGTGTAAAATCAAAGTCCAGCCACCAGACACTTCTGGAACATTCCAGGACTCTCGAGCCCCCCAAGGGTGGTCTCGGTGACACCTCAGTCCTGGGGTGCTGAGATCCCACAGCCAGCCTCAGGTTACCCCTGCTCAGGGATCCTGCAGAGGCTGCCTCTGATCCTGGCACCCCCAGCCACACCCCACTGGCATTTCTGGGTTTTGCCAGCAACAAAACAGCATTTCCAGAGCCATGCTCCACACCCCAACACCCTGAGAGAGCTGCAGCCCTCAAGCTGGGTGTAGGCAGGTTAAGCAGACACCTGCAGAGCTCCCAGAACAGCCACAGAGATTCCACTCCCCAGGAATTTCTCTGGCTCCCAAGTTGGGTCTTGCTGCACCAACCAGGGCCAGGAAAGGGCTGCTGCATGTTGGGAGCACCAGGATGGCTGCTAACACTGCTTTCACCTTTCCCTGTGCTGTTTCCAATGACAACAGATCTCCAGGGGCCTGACTTACAGGGCATGGCAGGTGTGCTCAGCTCTCCCTCCTCGCCCTGGAAGGATGGACTGGCCCTGTTGGCACAGCAAGCCCCTCACCACACACCTGTACAAACTCTGCTGCCTCACAGCAGCTCTCTCCAGCCTGAAACCAGGTTTTTCAAGCCCAAACTGGAGCCTCCCAGGTCCCCTCCTGACCTACAGGACAAAGATCTCACTCCAGCTACCCTGGCAGCCACTCTGGTGCACTTTTGCTGCCACCAGCGAAAAGCCAGCATTTGACATTAAAAAAAACCAGAACAAAGTATTGAATTTCAGCCTTTTAATACAGATGAGTCCCACAAGAACACAAGTGTGTCTCACCCACAGAGGTGTTCCACAGCAAACACATTTGCTGGCAGGGTGAGCAGCACAGGTAAGATCTACCCTGCAGAGTTTCATCTCCTTGTGCCACAGCACAGGCTGCAGTGTCCTGGATGGATTTTACCACTGAGTTACTCAGGCAGCTTGACAATGTAAGAAAAACAACAATTCTTGGGACAAAAAAGGCTTTAAGGTTAAATAAATGATGGGCAAAATAGGGTGAGGGGGTGGGTTGCTGCATTTTCTTTGTTCATTGCTTGGTTGGGTTTTTTTCCATAGTTCTGTCTCCAGTCCACTTGGCCTCCACTCCAGGACCATGGGCAAAAGGCCTGTTACAGGTGCTGCTACAGCTGTACCAAAGGAAACAAGGCAGGGTAATTTCTGTGCCCAGGACTGAGCAGGGAGCAGGGCCAATCACCTGCACAGAGAGGCAAATGGTACAATAAAACCCCCAAATGGTCCCAGGAACCCAGCAGCCTGGCTGGAAACAAGTTAAAATCCCTAAAAAAAAAGAATTTTTTTTAAACTCTGCATTTTATTTAAAAGGTTACCCCAAGGATGCTCAGAACCTTCTGTTAAACTGCCATTAATTACAGCCTTTCAGTGTGGCCTTTCTGCCTGTCTCCTCCTTAACCACTGATGGTTTAAGCAGCAAATATTATGTTTGAATTGCACAAAGACTTTTGTCCCAATTCAATGCCCAATCCTGCACAGAATAGGCAGGACATTAAGAATTTCAGGTGTTATATTTATAGGAGAACAGGTGTCAAAGTTTGAACATGATCTAACAACATCTAGAATGGGCCAATGGAAATGAAACAAAGATGAAGCAGAAAAGAGGAAGAAAATCTAAAAAGCTGTGGCTACGTAAAAATCCTTTCAGCAAATAGAAGCTCTATAGGAACAAACAATCTCCAAGCTATGTTGCAACCTTACTATTTACTACAACTTTTGCAGAAGCAAACAGACTCTGATGCAGGTTTCTTGCCTTCAGCCACCACCCTCTGTGCCCCAGGGTAATTTTCTTTCAGGTGAGTCTCACCTTACAGCAAAGCCTTTAGCAAAACAAAGCTGAAGGTTTTCACATTGGAGCTTCCTTCCTCCTCCAGTGCCTGCAACCACACAGGAATTGATATGACATAATGCTCCTCTGGAGTGCCAGGGGACAGCGAGGGGCAAAGGGAGAGAAATCCAGATTTTAACCAGCAGGGTGATAAAAGCACAGCCCAAAGCCTCAGCTCAGAGCCTAGCTATTCTCAAGTGCAATGGAAAGATGCTCTGCTGTTCTGAGACATCGAGGCTGCAGAGGAAAACATGCCAGGGAACAGCTGGAAACAAAAGCGGGAGGAGGAGGAGGAGGAGGAGGAGGAGGAGCAGACTAACTTCCGTGGTCTTTCCTATGCAGCTTAAATACTGAACCAACCAAAAACCTCCACACCAAGAGAGGTGTGGACAATTCTGGTGTGGAATCTGGAGAGAGCAAACCCTGCCTGCTTTTTACAAACCAAAACCACAGCGAAACTTTTAATCCCAGTTATTAGAAGAACATTCCACCCATTTCAGCTTTGTACTGCTCAGCTCACATCACCTTTGTGCACTCAGGGCTCTGGAACACATTTACAGCCATAAAAGCTGTGCTTTTATAGAGGGATTAGGGGTGGTGAGAACTCTGCAGTGCAACCCAGAACTTTTCAGAGTAGGTCCCTCCCCAGCTTTATAAAATCTCCACAAAAACACAACCATCCTCAGAGGTTCTGCACACATAACAACCTACACTGTTGTGCACATCTAATCCTGACCAGGGAGACACACCAAACCTGCCAGACACTCACTTTGGGGGTTGGGTTTTGGCTGGATGGGGATTTTTTTGTTTGTTGGCTTTGTTTTGGAATTTAAGTTTAAATCACAGCTGGTTAGTCCCACAACAAGCAGGGCTGGAGGTTCAGCACTTATCTTTGGAACTATTTTTCACACAAAGGTTATGTAGTAAACAATGGAGAAACAAGAGATGCTGGAGCTGTTCCTGAGTTGCCTGCTCTGATGAGATCAGCTCTGCATCTCTGATGACAGGGAAGTGAACATCCCTGAAGGACACTGATGCAAGTGCTGGCAGACAGCAGCAACTGCTGCAACAACCACTCTGCACTCTGCAAGCCATCCAAAGAGGTTTCCAGCAGCACAACCAGCACAGTCCAGCTCAAACATTTCCTGCACATCAGTTGTGCAGCCACTACAGGAACGTGATGGCTGGGCTGCACTTGGAACACTTTGCCTCAATCCTCCTTGCACCAGAGAGCTAAAGCCTCAAAGTGAAACATTATTCCAAGCATTATTCCAAAGAATCCAGTCCTGCCAGGAAACAAAGAGCAGTTTCCATGGGTGTGCAGCAGCTGAAGCAGTGGGGCAGCCATGGCCAGGGCTGCTCCAGCAGAGCAGGACACGCTGAGTGAGGAGGAGGAGGCAGCAAAGCAGCACCAGAACCAAGGCTTCCCTCCCTGCTGATGCCAGAGAGCCCTGACAGTGCAGCAGCACCAGGATGAGCACTCAGCTGCTGTCACAAACCTGGGCTCAACACCTGCAGCTCTCATGCCTATGCCCAGCAGGTGCCACTACATCAGTGCTGGCCCTGGCTGAGGTTTTACTGCACACGGGGTCAGCCAGCAACTCCTGTCTGCTCAGGAGGGTCAGCCAGTATGAAGAGAGGTCCTGTGCTTACACAAGTTCAAGTTTAGAGCAGAGCTGCTCAGCTGCACACTTGTTAAGGCCGTGAAAAGCAAACCAGTGTAGCAGGACCTGCAGCCAAACACGGCAGCACCACAGAGGCTGCTGATTAGAAGTGAGAGATCTCCATGGTCAGTCTTGGAAACTCAGGAGGCAAGGAGCAGAAGCCCTGGGAAACATCCCTTCACATGCCCTCCATGGCAGCAGGGAGGATCACACAAAGTGTCTCTCCACCCTCTGCCTGTGCAGGCTGCTGCAGGACAGGTTATCTCCTGCTCGGCATGGAGCTACCAGGGAGGTTCTGGCTGCACGCTGGTGCCTGAGGGGTCACGGGACAGATCAGGAGAGGAACTGCTGTAAAGGAAGACTTGAAAGAAACATCTTAGAGATCTCCAGATTCAGACAGTTGCACAAAAACAACCAGAGGGAAAAGACATGCAAAGCTGTGGATCACTCAAATAAACAACCTGGTAATTAACAGCAGCCCCCAGGCAAACTGGAAGGGATGGACCACCTCCAAGGGCTGGGCAGTGTCTTCAGCTGCCTCTCCCGTTCCTCCTGGCCAGGAAAAGGGCAGGAAGCTGCACTGCCCCAGCCCTTGCTCCTGGCAGGGAACCCCAGCCCTAGTGGGCTTGTTGCTGCCCAGGAACTGAATTCCTGCACTTCTGCTATTGGGGAAGAGTTCTTGGGAGAGATCCAGTTTCCACCTGAACCATAAAATCTGTCAGCAGCACCTCAGGTGCCTTTTCCCTGACATTGCCTTGGGCCTGGATAGCAGTGGGTGGGATACAGAGCACCAAAGGATGGTGCCTGAATAAAGGTACTAAAGCCCAGCCAAGGGCCAAGGTTGAAAGGAGGTGCTGGGACTCGGTGTGTTAGGGCTGGTGTCAGCACCAACTCTGTGCAGGGCAGGGCTCTCATTTCAGCTTTTGTGTGCTCATTGCAAGATCAGAGTGAGGACATTGGCTGCATCCTCATCACTTCCTTAATACAAGCTGAGGACAGGGAAAATAAAAATAAAAATCCACCCCCTTTCCAGTCAAAGCCATCTGCTCCAAAACACGCTCTACTCTCTCCCTAACACACATTTCTGCTTCTTTCCTGTGGGAACAGCAGCAGGTGAGGGGGAAGGCAGCGGCAGAAAAAGCCCTCCATCATGTGAGGAGGAGCACATCACCCTCAGTCTGTGGTGAGGCTCTGGGGCAGCAGCCCTGTCTCCCAGGGCAGCCCAGCCCTGCCGAGCACTGAGAGCTGCCCTGACTCACCAGGCCTCAGCTCAGGGCTGGCTGCTCCTGCAAGCCAACAAACCTGCTGGGTGAGCTCATTCCAGCACATGAATAACCAGCTATTCCAGAGTGGATGTGTGACACGGTGGTGACAAAGCCACCACGGGTCCCTCAGGTGAGGAGCAGCCTCGTGCCCCTAATGCACAAACACAGCCCCTGCTTCACGTGCAGCTCCACCACATCCATGGCCCAAACCACGCCAGAACCAACACACTTCTGTCCTGCTTCAGTGCTCGGGGATGGATGATCTGTGTGATCTGTGCAGGGCACTCACCCACAAGTAAAGCACAGTTTCACTGAGTCTGGTGTAACCAACCCCAGGCTCATGGCACAGAGCAGCCCCTCCCTGCACCTGGGGAGAAGGAGGCAGCACTGACAGCACAGAGGCCATGCAGGGAAAATGCAGGATTTCAGGTTCCCAGGTGAGATCCTCCAGAGTAGCTGAACCTCTCAGAACAGCATCCTGCCTCCACAACTACACATTTGGGAAAGGGAGGGTGAAAGCTGGGAAGAAGGACAACATTGGAAGCCCAGAAAAGCATTAATGTTCTCCCTGTCCAAACAATAATAGGAAGGGTTAATTCAGGGTCTTCTGTGGATGGGCAAGAAAAGGCAAAAGCTAAGTCCAAACCAGTTCCAATATGCAGGGAGCATGCTTGGCTGATGCTCCTGGAGACTGATACACTCCATAGCTCAGCATGAACCTAGCAAGGAACACACAAGTGACACCTGAACGTCAATCTCCTCCTCAAAATGCCACCTTTTTGTCACTAGGAGTTCCATACTCACTGGCCTCACAGCTTGGTGCAGCAATGGTCAGGGCATTGCTCACATCTCCTGCACCAGGAGTAACAACCACCTCTGCCCCCACAGAGGAGCTTTATTTTGCCAGCAATTTAAAGAAAGGACATTGCTGAGGCCTTGCTATGCACCACAGAAACTGCAGGGGCTAACAGAAGATGTGCCTGATTTAGACTGAGGTGCCAAGCTCCAAGGCTGTGCTGAGAAGTGACACTGCTGCTCAGGGATCCTGAAAAAGGATGGACAGAAGCACCTATGGTGCTGTGTGACAGACACAGCTCCCACTGCACCCCAGCTCTCAGATACCGGACACAAGCAGGGAGAGGCTGCTTACAGCACCTAAAATCCAACAGAAAAAAGGCTTTTCATCACTCAGCTGTGTGCTGATCCAACACCCAGTGCCCACGGAGCAGAGAGGAATCCCTCAATCCCTTTTCTAATAGGCTGGGTAAGAGCAGCTAAAATACAGAGCAGCTAAAATACAGAGCTACATTTACAGAGCTTCACTTCTGAGGGTGTGCCTTCCCCGAGCTGGAAAGGACAATCCATTCCATGCTGCATCACAAAACCTGGCTGCTCACAACTGTTTCCACAAAACAGAGCAAAAGCAGCAGACCCTAACGAGACAGAGAAGGCAAATGCTCTCTCTCCCATCCTGCCAAGGTCAGGGACCTGAGCTCCACCCGAGATGTCCCCACCACAAGAGCAGCTCAAAGCACACACCAGTTGTACCTTCTGCACTGACCAAAACAGTGGGAGATGACACAACACTCATTTTAAAATTGGGATGTGGGATCTGGGAGGCGATGAGGATGAGGACAATGTGCTTACAAGCAGCTTTACAAAGAGAACCTCCACATAACATTCTGGCATTGCTGTTTTGGGATGGCATTAGGTACGTGCCAAAGAGGACGCCAGGCTCGAGCTGTTCCCAAAATCCAAGAGCCCAGGGGATGGTGTGTGTCAGGGAAGGGAGCAGCATGCCCTGTCAGCACGTCCCAGCTGTGCCAGAGGCACAGGGAGTTCCACTGCCAAGGCTGTCAGCAGCATCAGCAGGATCAAATTCACTTGGATATCAAAGCCACTCCAGCTGATTATCCTAAAGGTGCGTCGCCTCCCAGAGTCAACAGAAGCAGAGCCTGTCAGAGCATATATTACTGTGAAACAACAGTGTGTGACCTAATTCTCTAATTAGGAATGGGCTCAGTTGCCCACAGAGGACAAGGGAAGGTTCTGAAATTATTCACTGAGATTTCTTTTTCCAACAATAAGATGCTGGTATTTAGTTGCTACAAAACAGTGGGTTCTGAGACAAAAGGTCTACAGCCACAGCCAAAATCCCTGTTCTTTGGGTCTCATGCCTATACCAAAGACCCCACTTAACTCACTCCTTATTCCTACCCTGTCTGCTTCAAACCCACTTCAATCAGAAGACAATTCCAGCTGCAACACTTCACTTAAAAGAGCCACCCCGTTACACTCTACATAGTAAACACCAACCCCACGGAGCAGTTCCACAGCTCCCGGGTGAGGCAGGTTCTCCAGAAACACAAACTCTCTTCAGGGAAGCTCCGGAGCACCCAGCACCTCCTCAAAGGCAAACCACACCAGCCCAGCCAGACACCCGAGGAGATGAACGATAGCAAAGCCTTCTCCTTCCTGAAGAGCTGCTCCCATTTCACAGGCAGCTCCACTTCTGAGTCACCACCTCCCCGTAAATCTCCGTGGAGCAGGTGTGCATTTGCATCAGCTCCTGGGGAGCTGCTGGTGGCTCCAAGGACCGAGTGTGGTCGGAGCCACACCACTCTGCATGCTCCAAATTTGGCCCGTGCTGAGCACCAAGGAGCTCCCGATTCCCTCGGGTTCCTGATACAGACAAAACTCAGCACTACCTGCTCCTGCCCTGGGCTGCAGCGACGATGCAGGGTCCGAGCCCTTGGGGATGTTATTGTGCACGGAGGAGGGGGAAGGATGACAGATTGACACCCACAGCAGGACCCGCACCCCGCCAGGCCGCGCTACACCGTAACTGCAGGAAATGCACAGCGCTACTCCTTGGCTCTTAATTACGGTCTTGTGATAGCGTAGTTAATGGTCTGTCATGGGCTCCATTAGGAACCTCGACGCTGGCAGGAGGTGGATCAGCCAACGCGGCCGCTCCCGGTACAGCCACCGAGGCAGAGCGGCTCCGGGCTGGGAATCAGGCTCCAGTTCTTTTGTTACAGCCCCGGCTTCCTCTGGGAACGGCTCGGTGCTTGTGGCAGCCGGGGAGAGGCAGCGAGGGCAGCCCTGGGACCGCTGGGGAAGGGTCCGGCTGCACATCCCGGGATTACATCAGACACCAGCCCCTCTGCCCACATTCTCCTCCAGATTTGGGGCATTTCAAGGAGCTGAGGAGGCCTCTGAGCTGCCTGCCACGCGCTGCGCTCCGAGTTAATGAAAAAAAAAAACAAAGGAAAAAGCAAAACAACCCCTCCCTGGCCGCCAGTTCGGCGCTGGGGTGAGGGCCCTCGGGGTCCCCGCGGGATGCGGTGACAGCAATGGCGGGGGAGGTGACAGC